GAAACTCTTTAACGGTAGCTAATTTGTATGTGAAAGTAAAACTTGGTGTACTTGGGTTTTATTTGGTTTTTAAGTTTCAGTACATGTTGCAACTAGAACACGTACTAGTGTGTAGTGTGATTATATAGCCTGATGCAGAAAGAATCACCATGGCAGTATATTTCTCTTTAGTCAGTTCAAGATGTATATCGAATGGAGGTGAGGAGCTCATGTTCATGTACAATGGCTAGTCTGATTTCAGTTATTCGTGAAGGAATCGGTATCTTCAGTTTATCCCCATCATTCCTCATTGGGATTAGTCTCTGTTTCCATAACAACCAAACAGTGACAGAAGATGTAATGTGAGTAGTAGATGAGTCAGTTATAGTCGTGACACGTGGGAAGCGCGGCTGCATTTTAAACAACTATGTGAAAACCACTGCACTGAAATGTACTTGGGAGACAGTTACGACTACCGACACACGTGTATATACTTGTAGGAATTACACTTTAACAGGGCTCTAACCTATACATCTGTTTGAATTTCTGACTAATCAAAAATCAAGTTGGCCGGAAATGTTCAATCTTGGAATTTTGCCATATAAAATCAAAATCTCTCTGCCTGACTGTAGCTGACGTTGAACGTATGGAAACCTGGGTTTATCATATGCTGCTTTACCCTGGAAACAGTAGCTCTGTCAGTGGTCACCACAACTGTTTGATCTTTCTGCCCCAGGACAAGCTGAAGAAGTCCCCTACAAGGAGCCGGGGATCAAACCTTCTTAGTTAATTCATCGTCATTATAAAGGTATTAAGTATTTTCCTTTTATCATTACCCCCCAGCAGTAGGTCTGGGGGCTCACACCACTAAAAATTGGATTTTAATACTCGCGATTGGCACAGCATAGATAGTCCTTTGTGTAGCTCTGCGCTTAACAACAAGTAAACTATTATTATCATTATTATTACTGCATTTTTGTAAGTTAAAATTATTGTTTTTGTCTACATTTATTGCTAAAGGCTCTATTTTATGTTTTTGATCAATATATAAAAGTTATTTCATGTTGTATAACGCATCTTTGGGTAAATCCATTCTTGTTTAAGGTATTTTTAGCTCTTATTACGTGAAGTGTAATATTTTCAGTGGTATAGGACGTCTTTGTTATCTTGTATCTCAATCATTTTATTGTTTATTTGTTTCGGATATTCACGCAAGTGTTTCATCTGTCCCTAATTTTGAACTCAAAGGGTAGGCAGGAAGTGAACAGCACTTCCCGACAACTATTTGGCTACTCTAATCGAATAGTGGGGGGTTAATTGTCACTTTTATAACGTAAACATGCCCCAAAGTGCGTAGCACCATTTTGCAGCATCCTCAGATCCACAGTCCGGCACACTAGTCACTAGGCCACGCCTGGTCCGTTGAATATGAAATATTGGGTTGATATTGATTATCTACATTAAATGATATTCCTGTTCTGTTTATAATATGAATGAAATTATAATTTTTGATTACGGGTATTTATGAAGTACGTTTAAAGTCATTGCTATTGATCGTCATGTTTATCTGTATCACTGTTGAAAGTGTTTTACTTCTCTATACTGTTTATCTGTATCACTGTTGAAAGTGTTTTACTTCTCTATCTTGTTTATCTGTATCACTGTTGAAAGTGTTTTACTTCTCTATCTTGTTTATCTGTAATCACCGTTGAAAGTGTTTTACTTCTCTATCTTGTTTATCTGTATCACTGTTGAAAGTGTTTCTACGGCGGAAGAATAAGGACAGCCGATTGGTGGTTTTTGTAGTTTTCTTTTATGTTAAAACTTAAAGTTAAGGACGACCAGATCGAATGGAAGAGAGACGGATAAGAGAAGGTTGGAGGGTACAAAGAATACTCTTTTTTTCTTTTTTACTCTTTTAGAAAGATTAAAAGGTTTATTTCGCCAAAAGTTTCGAAATGTATGTCTTCACCTTGACCTTATTTTTCCACTCACACATTATTGACATTACTGAACTTTTCAACAGTATATGTCACTGGAGAAACCCCGTAGTTTTGTACTATAGTGTCCCATGTAACATTAGTTGTGTAAACGTTTGGTAATACCTGAATGAGACGTCTACCTTATAAGAGGTTGTGGGGTGGTCAGTAACGTGGGTGACAAATGCTCCCCGAGAAAATTTATTTGATGTGTTGTTTATGAAAAATATTGTTTTTCACTTTGTTTTATGTTGTGTCTAGTATCTTATATTCGATCAGTCAGCTCAGAAATTCAGCTTTAACTCAGATTGACATTTTCTGCTGTTTTTCAGCTGTTTCAAATACTACTCTTATCTATGATATTGTTACTGCACCTGAAAATACTGCAAAAAAAAAACAACACAAAAAACACAACGACAACAACAAAACACACAAGAAAAGCATGGCCACAATGTACCAAATTGTTAATTTTTGTGGTAT